AATGTGTTGTGATATATTGCATCCAGGAATATCATAATCAAGAAAAAAGATTGCATTTGTCAACGACAATATAGCATATCTTGGGTTATCCGTGACATCGGTAGACAATGACAGTCCAAATGATCATGATTATATTTTTGAAGACATTGCTTTTAATGTATTATCAGAAATCAACCCCTCGGTTAAAGAGTTACACTGTTTCCAACATCCTCTTTAACGGATATCATAATAGAAAACACAAATCATTGTATATCGTATCAACATATACTAAATAATTGTCAAACAGGCGCGGTATAAATTTTGCTTACAGAAATTTACAATCGAAATCGTTCCTCATACAGTAAAAAATATGAAAAAATCTATACAAACCCCTCTATGTCAATTTCTTGATTTGATTGAAGATATGAGCAGTCTAAATAATTTAAAGTTCAAGAGGTAAATGCTATCAATTTGTTATCACTATCTAGGTCTTATTAAGGTGTTGAAGGATATTAGCTTTGTAGCGGAATGTTGAGTTAAAATATAAGACTTTTGTTTCTTTAAGTTTTTGTTCCTTCTTCCTTAGAATCTATTGTTCATAACATCCAGGACACAAAATGAACTGTTAACAAAGGCAACAATAGTTGACGGATGATCAATAACATTAAAGGTACCAATCTTTGTAAGGTAACAAAAACTAGTTGGGGGAATAACAAGAACTCCAACAGGAAAGAGAACGGCACTGATGCGTTAACAGACAAAGCACCTCATACTTTACATACACCATCCGCAACGTAAAAGCCAAGGGAAACAAAACAAAACACCTGAAAATTACAGATAAGACGACTGATCGGGAATCTACAGATCTAAGACTACATCTGCATGTCTATGTCATATATTGTATATAGTGTCGATTTGAGTTGTTTTGTATTTAGATTTCATGTTAATGGTATAACTGTTTAATTATTTCTTTTTTATATTTAGAAAAAAAGTTCGATGTTTAAACATTAAAAGATTGAACTTTATTAGAGATTTCCAATAAAATGGCATACGTACCTTACTCGACGTACGTGTCTTTCATCATAAAAATGTAATTGTTTTGGGCTTAATTCAATATTGATTAGTTGAGATATTTCCAACTGAATTTTACATTTTTTTTTCTTATATTGTGCTGTTACACCGGAGTGTTGAGCGCTGGTAAACGCGTTTAATCAGGCCAAATTTTATATTGGCTTTCCCAAGTCAGATGCGTTCACTTCAGTGGATGTCGTTGGTTACTTTCTGTCATTTTTGTGTTAATTTTTCTCTTGTAAAAATGTTTATTTTCGTTTGAAAAGTTTACATTTTTCAAAGTCAATGCCTTATATACTAGTATCTGATAATACGGTATGAGTATTTGCTTATTGTTGACGACAGCACGAGCCACTGTAGTCGTAATTCACACCATTTGGACTCTGTTTGATAGTTTGACCCCAGGAATGTTAGGAATAAATCGACAAAAGAATGCATGCTAAGCATACTAATGGTTTTGAAGAGAAAATTGAAAATATTTGTTGAACGGACAGACAGGATGATTGTAATATGAGTGCGGGTACAATATTTTGTCAGTGTATGTATCTTAGATGCTAGTGGTAAGGAAGTCTGGATCAAAACGGGGTAATCTCTACTTGTTAAAAAATATTCTTTACTATTTAGAATATTAATTGCATGCCTACTGGATATCAGTACAATAGCAAGTCACAAGGATAAAGGAAGCTGTGGAACACCATTTTACAATAAAAACTAAGCTTTTTGATACAAAGAAACAAGGAGAAAAATTAAACAAATTATGCAACAAAAAGTGATATCAATACAAAACAAGTGTTGCTAGAATAATAATATATGCACTTTATATGCACTTAAAGCATAAAATATATGAACAGGTTTTTATTAAATATGGAATTGACTGGTAGCAGGCCAGCCTCGATTACGGGTTCAATTATTTTGTTGGACAATTAGATCCAGCGAATCGCTCTCATTTCATCATCCTTAATATATATGTAATATGTGTCGCTGGATATAAGACATACATCAGTATCATCATCATCATAAGTATTATAGCTTGAGGCTTAATCTTCGTCGTATTTATTATAGCTTGTAAGTTTTATAGCTTGAGGCTAAATTCTTATCTGATATTTTAACCAATTTATGTCGAGAACTTATTTTATGCATGCATCTCTTTGCTACATAATTTGTATAAATGTCCAAGTTAAAGCCTATAGAGATCATAGAAGTATGTTTATCAAATGATCATATCTACTCATAATTAAAACAGTAAGAAAGGGATTGACTCGTCCGACTAAAACGAAGCACAAAAACAGCAATTACTAGTATTTCAAAATAAACTCCATGTACCGATCTTAGAGTATTCACAGCTACTGAACACTATCTTAAAAACAACTACAACTAATAAATACAGAATAATTATGCAGTCTAGAATATTAATCAATTATTTCGTACTGTTACACCAGGCCCGTTAACATGTTTAACCCCGCCACATTATGTATGGATGTGAGTGTCAAGTAAGGAGCCTGTAATTCAGTGGTTATCATTTGTTGCTGTGCTTTCGTTCATTTTTTGTACATTAATTAGGTCGTTAGTTTTATCGTTTTTGTTGTTTTACATTTGTCATTTTGTGGCCTCTTATAGCTGACTATTCGATATGGGCTTTGCTCATTGTTGAAGGTCGTACAGTGGCCTATAGTTGTTAATTTCTGTGTCATTTGGTCTCTTGTGAAGAGTTGTCTCATTGGTAATCATACTACATCTTCTTTTTTGTACATATCACAAATTGAGTAAAAAAGTACATACACACTCTAGAAAAGCAAGACCGTGTGTCATTTTAAAAGCACAGAGAGTCTGTAGGACCATTAGTGTTCATAACTGTATAACAGATTATATGTAGTTTCTATAAAATGTAATGATAATTTATCAGTAAAAGATACATAATTATTAGTTAGTGGGATTATATATAACTAAATGAATGAATATTTATATTAAAAGAAACATCAGAAACAAGAATATGTGTACATTAGATTACACGCCAGTATCACATTTCCGTGTTAAGTGAGCTCTTAATCGAGGAAAAAATTCAATTCAGTATGTAGTCTTAAACTTTTAAATCTCGTGCGAGATGTCTAATGTTTAAACATTGTTGTTTTTAAAACGTATTTATCAAAGTCAAACGACAATCATTTAATACTTTTTTTTTGTGCTATACAATTTGTGGTTATGGCCGGATCCAAGATATTTGAAAGAGGGCGTAGTTCCCGATAATTGAATTTATACTGCCGAGCGAAGCAACGCGAAAAAATATTGGACGATTTTATACTAAACATTTGTATAGATAACGTGGAAAATGTGAGATGTTCAAAATTACTTGGCAATTGAAAGGGGGGAGTACGCCCTCTACCCCTGTATCTGCGAATGCACGTTTAGGTATACATTATCAAAACCTCGTCCCATGCTTTATTATAGTTCAAAACTAAAAAGCACTTTTTGATAAATGTATCAATAGTATGAATTTCTGCCCACGTCAAATTATCTTGAATTAAATTATAGAAAAATATTTTGTTTTAAAGTTAGTCGCGTACACCTTTTACATTCGGGTGTGTTGGAATCCACTTTTTAAACGTTAAAACTTATAAAAACAAAAAAAGAGATAACCTTCTCGCTTCGGATTTCATTATTTTAATATTTTCATGCTAAATATTTACTTGGTAGTTTTTTAAATTCATATGTTAAGAAGAACTGAAATATGGGTCAAGTGGAATGACAAGGAATGATGGGTGTATTTGATTACAAGTTGCTAGCTTACTTATTCCATTAAAATATTTTTGTCAATAAAATCTTTGAAAATTTAATAACAAAATATTTAAAGATTAAAAAAATTAGTTGGGGTTGATTTTTACATTAAGTCTATATAAGCAAAAAATGCGTGTTCAAAGAGCAAAATATGCATGCAGTGTATGCTCCCCTCCGTCATGCTTCGATGCAATAGGACGATATACGTTGAGTTAGGTCGGTTATGTCGAGTAAAGTCATTTTATTGGAAATCTCTATTAAGACCTGTACACGTTTAATTTGCTCAGGATTGATATACAAAATAATTAAAAAAACGGATGTTATTGTTATATCATAATTATAAAAAACTGCATCATTGCCAAAGCAAGATTATATTTTTTCCTGTTTGCAAATTAGAACAAACGCATGATGAGCTTTCGTGTCGCAGATGGTGTGTTTGTTATTTATTCTCGAACTTAAAATGTTATTTTACATCACATTCAAGCTGTTAAATATTCATTCTTGGTAAATGAATATTTTTCACTGTTTGATCCATCACATGGGAAACTGATATTTATTGTCCCAAGAGAAGAAATTAAAAGATAGTTGTGAAATTTTTACATACAGCTAACCAAACAACAATGATCTCCAATACTAATGATATATAAGCAACACATACATATTTCGATAAAACAAAAATTTGAATGCGGCATATATCATTGTCTTTATTTCTGCTTATATATCCGATTTACAACTATATGAATTGAAGTTTTTTTTTCATGCAACTGCGGGGAATCTGACTATAATTCATTATCTCTCTCGAAGCTTGTCATCCTTTAGCATATGTATCGACGAGCTATCAATTTACCACATATATCGATGATAACGTGATGGGTCAATATGCGCAATTCATTTCAGGTTAGCAGTGATGGTAGCATTTTTTCAAATCCTCTGCCCCTATCAAAAACTTGAATATGTATGATGGTTTTTTCGAAGCTGAGACATTTTCACCTTTGTAGTTACATTTGTGGTGTATGAAGTGAGATTCCTTAATTAAGAACACCCCGAAAAGCCTTCTGTGATGCGGCTTGTGATAGGTTAAAAAGTTCTTTAAGACAGACAGCTAGATACCATAAACACACTAATGTATACACAGGCAAGAGTCTGGGCTTGTTTTGCTATATGATATAAAATCTAAATTGACGAAAAAAGGTCATTTATTCAAAATCATTAAATGCAAAAAATACATTTTGCAAATAAAACATTTGACATAAAAGTTCATAATTGATATGAAATTATAATACATAATTAATACGAAATTACATCAACTAAAATCATATCAATTGAATAAATGACAAAAAATAGCAAATGTGGGGAGCAAAATCTGCCACAAATCCACTCTGAGGTTGAAAAAGTGGATCCCTATCCGATGACTCTGGCGACGTGAATACAATTTATATATAACTTATTAGAATTTGGAAGCATGACACTCAAATACACCAAAAAATAACACTATGTTTTTATAAAACGTTTCCACATTCAGGTGATATATTAAAAGTTCATATAATAATAAACCTACATATATTACCTTTTAATTATCTCTGCTGATAAACATGACTGAAGGTGTAAATGTTATTACGGACAGGACTGCAGCAATAAAGTTACAATAATCATCGTTATTTAATATATGTATTCACATTTCGTCTTACATCTCAACATCTAATAACATTATCCCCTAAATATTTTAGTACAGACAATCAGTATTAGTACAGTAATTAACAGAAAACATTTTTGCCTCATTTGAGTGATCTGATATCTCTCCATAATCATTGTGTACTGGACAACTAATAATAAAATGTTGTTCATATTTAATCTTCAAACAAAATAAAAGTACATTTTTACAAAGCCCTGACTTCTTTCTAAATAGGAAGTTTTATATCTGACTCTTTCTATTATGGGATCGTGGTCACTGATTCTCATTTTACATTTGGCATTTTTCAATCGAAATTATACAAAGACAAATAAATTTCTTTAGGAAACCAAGTTTTTGTAATTGAAATAAGTATCTAATTTAGAACTGTTTTACTCTGAGTTAATTTTTGTTGTATTCCCAATTGATGTGAGACTTTAGAAAATTTTGCTTAACTCAGGACTTGATAAAAAAAATAAGCTTTAATAATAATTTTGAATGTTCAGCTTTTTAGAAATTTAATGAATGGGTTAATACCAGCATTCGATATTAATAGTAATATTTCATATTGATAATACCACTATAAAAAAATAACGGGAATCTACCAAATTTACTTAGCACTGCTAAGCTAGAAGACTTTTCATTTACACTTAAAAATCACTTCATTTATATCGGGAATTTGATTTTTCTATAAAAGAAAAAAAAAAAAAAAAAAAAATTAAATTTTAAATTTTTAGAATAAAAAATAAATTTAATGAATATCATTGCTATAAATTATTGAAATACATATTCATATTCATTTTTTTTCCTGGCATGCTAAAGAGATCGTTCTGAACATACTTGTAATTTGAATGCCATAAAAGGGTTTATATTGTATGGTCGTAGTTAAGTTAAAAGATGAAAAATATCTTTGAAATCTAAATACAGCTTTTAATGATTTTTTTGTATTATTTTTCTTTACCTTGCGTTAAAAGTCCACGAGATGTTAATTTTAAACCTAGTGAATATTTATAATTATTGACACATACTCTAATATCTTTCTCGAAAGAAAAATATTCTTTTAAATAATAACCAGTTTAGGTAAATAAAATTACTGGTTTTTGATAGATTGACCTCTAAAGACCATAACATTTAGTACAAAATTGGGATAAACCATCAAGTCGTTTTATATATATAATTTGATAAATTGGAAACTAAAATAAAATAGGCAACGCTGACAATCATAACATGATCTAAAACAATTCATGTATACATACATGAAGTTGGCAGTCTTAACAAAATGTAGACATCAGGAGGGCAGACAATAATGACCCCATCCGTATGAAATAAAGATAATAAAGGTTTTGGCAGGCAATGCTGACCCAAAACAAGATAGTTGTAATTGTATGAAATAAAGATCATATAAACGTTTTGACAGGCAATACTGACCGTAAACAGAAGCATAGCGTTTTATTACTAAAGCTCATAAAAACGTTTTAGCATGCAATGCTGACCCAAAAAAGAAGCATGGAATTTTATTACTAAAGATCATATAAACGTTTTGGCAGGCAATGCTGACCCAAAACAGAAGCATAGCATTTTTTACTTAAGATCGTATACCCGTTTTGGTAGGCAATGCTGACCCAAAACAAGATAGTTTTAATTATATGAAATACAGATCATAAAACGTTTTGGCAGGCAATGCTGACCCAAAACAAGATAGTTGTAATTGTATGAAATAAAGATCATCAAACGTTTTGGAAGGCAATGCTGACCCAAAACAAGATAGTTGTAATTGTATGAAATAAAGATCATCAAACGTTTTGGAAGGCAATGCTGACCCAAAACAAGATAGTTTTAATTATATGAAATAAAGATCATAAAACGTTTTGGCAGCCAATGCTGACCCAAAACAAGATGGTTGTAATTGTATGAAATAAAGATCATAAAAGTTTTGGAAGGCAAGACTGACACAAAACAGCTGAAGCATAAAATTCTGTTACTAACTTAATCATTTTTATCCTGTAAAATTCAATAAACGCATTTGACTTCAATCCTTGAATCGCGGATACGAGAATTCAATCCATGAGCTGCAGCAGAAGTCTTTTTTCTAAACCTAGGTGCTGTATAGTACCGAGAGTCGAAACTAATTTTACGACAGAGCAAACTTTAAAGAGATGGTGAAATAAGAGCGTGCAACTGGTGCTTCAAACTTTCATTAGAACTAGGGTCCAGTTGTGTATCCAAATGCTGATCGAAGACACCTTTTGTAAATTAGTATTGATAAAACAGTCAAAGTAGATTTAGCCAGTCAAGAATTATTGTTGATGAAGACTCGAACGTCCAGATCAAAATTTTAATCTCGAAATCACGTTTGCGTCATAAACGTCAGTGAAACAGCAACCCATCAACATTCGTTTGTTTGTATTATCGGAACTATGACATACCACTGATATATAAAAGTACATGTAAATTGTTGATATCACGCTGTATTGCATAACTCCTTCAATGGGCGAAAGTCCATTCGTAGATAAATACCAGACTCAGCTCTCTTCGTCCATAGTTAAAACATGAAATAAACAAAATTAAAATGTAAAATAATGAAAAACAAAAATTGTCACATTATATAACAAACTCGATCTAAATCTAAAACAACAAACATAACACATGTCAAGGTATAATATGCGATAATTTTTTTTTTAATTTTTTTTTTTAAATTCTTTTTTCTTCAATCAATCAACCATAAAACATATATATCATGTATTAAAAGGAGAGTATGAACTTTAAAATATTATCAGTGTATTGATAACGTATGTCTTGTCCATTGTTCTTTTTAATAGTAAATCTATTATAAAGTAAAAGCATACGACCTTACATTGCTTTAGTATTGGTATAAAAATTATCAATTAAGTTCATCGCAACCCAAACTATATGAATTATACTAGTAAATATAATTTAACTAATACATTAGAAACATGTATTAAAATACTGACAAACATGAGAAACTAGCGAAAGAATTAATTACAAAATAATTTATTCCAAACCAATCACCATGACGAAATAACAAAGTAGCATGAGTTTCATGACGACGCATTAAACGATACCCACTACATAATAACATATTTGCAAAAGCGAATACACAGAGGTCATAAGTCAAAGCTACCACAACCTCTGCGAATAAAAGTAGCATAAGTTTCATGACGAACCATGAAACAATACTCACTACATAATAACATATTTGCAAAAGCAAATACACAGATGTCATAAGTCCAAGCTACCACAACCTCTGCCAAAAAAAGTAGCATGAGTTTCATGACGAAGCATAAACAAATACCCACTACATAATAACATATTTGCAAAAGCAAATACACAAAGGTCATAAGTCCAAGCTACCACGACCTCTGCACAAACAAATGCACAGAGGACATAAGTACAAGCATCCACGCCCTCTGCAACAATCAAAATATAGTTCACATTACCCAAACAGGCCAGTACAGGCAAATTGGCGAATAGACTAACTTACAAAAATGTGCTCCAAACCAAGCACCATGACGAGATTTACGAAAGTAGCATGAGTTTCGTGAAATAGCACAAAACAATGAACACTACACAAAATATATTTGCAAAAGCAAATACACAGAGGTCATAAGTACAAGCAACCACGCCCTCTGCACCAATCACAATATCGTCCACCTTACCCAAAACAAGAAAGGCAAATTGGTTTGTAAAACAATAAACCATAGCTTAGCCTTAAAACTTATATTGTCTGCCACTTTCATATAAGAGTGTAAATGTATGGAATAGTTAATAATATCATATATAAGTATGTAACTTTTCATTCTATCATGTGTGTTAATATCGTTATTATTATTATTATTATTATTAGCATATAATTATTATTATCATATATATATATGAAATAGGTCTTTACCATTCATTGTTAATGAGCATATGCCCATAACATTTTGTATTTCTATTTAATTGAACCATGTCTCATACAGATACGTCAGGCGGATCTTATACGTTCTGCAAACATTAGGATGCCTTTTACATTTAAATGTACAACGACATATGCTATTAAGGATTCAGTAACTTGTAAAAATACAACATCGGGTTTATCATCAGCTATAATTTTCCATAAGTATGGTAAATAAGTACAATTTGATCGCAAACGCACAGTGTCACCAACAACACCAAAATTAATTTTACACCAATATCTCTATCACAAAGAGATGAATTTGACCAACTGCTACGTGTATTGCATACAACAAAATCGTGTAATCTATACGAATGAAAGAATGGTCAAAAGTAACTGTAAGTTTGTCCAGAATGTAAGCATAAAATAGCTAAAACATAAAAGTATAGTTCGATTTTACCTCAAATTGCAAAAGGAAATTACTCCAGTCCAAAAATATACATCAAATTTAAATTATTCACAAATTGTTTGATAAAAATTACAAGTTAACACGCCAAAGGCTGATGATAAAAGGGAATGACCACACCACACTTACACGTGAGCTCGTGCTGACCCCGCAAGATCATTGACCAATAAGAAAGATGTAATCCAATCATGCTCTGGTCACAAGTGAATTTTCTCTGCACGAGAAAAAATGTTCTAAAATTTCAACAGTTTATCGTTTCATTAGTTAGGACAGCTCTGACCCATTGACCAGACCAGAGACATCATAAATTTACAGTATAAATAGCTCTCTCTTTATTTAAGTCTGAGTAATAAACAATTAATAAAGAATTATCTTCTCTGCTGTCTTAAATGATTTTATTCAGCTTAATTTTCAATTAGTAAATACAATTGGTTTTTTTCAACCATTAAGAACATTTAGTTATATGCATACATCTAACTCTATAGTTGTTACACCTTTATTATATGGTCCTCTGCTCTCTAAGTCAGCACAAGTTGTAAAGTACGGTTAATTGAAACATGTCCAATGACACTAGTGTGTGGTACTGCGTTGGTATTCTTGTTTACGCACTGCTTATGAGTTCCTCAATTTGAGGCACATTAGTGATTGTAACCCTGAAGAATAATATGTTGCCATCGATAGTATTACCAGGTTATTCTTCAGGCTACTTTATGGACGTGAAACGTCATATATACGTCATTTTCTGTAACAAGGTGTTGTTATTTCTTGATATAGATGATCTAAAATGTTTTATGCACAATAATTTCTTTGTTCAAATGTGTCGATGCTGCTACTGTTTATTTGATTGTGCCTTTCAACTGTCTCGATTAAAAGGCCAACTGACCACTATTTTGTTGATTAAAGCTTGTCGTATTTAAGTCTGAATCATTTGACACTTTTTTAAAACTGCTTGATTTAGGCTTCCACTGGTCTAATGAGGGTATCCCCAGCCTAGTAGTCATTATTTCAGACCTGCATCGACTTGAAATATATATCATTTTACGGTCAAATAAATTTTGAGCAAGATATATACACTCCCCATATCATAATATCCATTTATACTGTTGTCAGACTTAGAGTATGCATGTGAAGTAAACTAGCTTCGATAATCCTTGACATCTATACATCTTGCTAGATGATTTTATTCTGGATTTTAATTAGTCCTTGCAAAATGTCAAAGGATGATGTAAACATTTTTGGGGAATATTGTTTTTGGGGTGTTACCCTTTGCTCTGAATTTTTATCTTCAACACTGCAAAAGTAAACAGGTTTGCAAAACATGTACAGAAATTTGTTATTTCCTAAACAATTGAACTATTTAATAAAAAAAAAACCGGATCAAAACATGTATATTGACAGGACGTTGTTTTCCTTAAAGCATTTATAACCGTCACGACTAAGGCTTATTAAAAATGTTCAAATATAAAAAAAGGACCCAACTGGACAATCTTTCATATCATTCAACTTGGAAGTAAGTCTCCAGGCTAGGATCGTTCATTAGTACTCCGGTATAACTTTAAATTAATGATTTGATATTTGGCCGATTTTAAACATTACAAGGTTGTTAGGAATCCAAGAACCTGTTGTTTTAACAATGAATTATGGCTATAGCAGTGGGATTTCTTATGTCTCTCGTATTGCAATCTCTGTAATGCGAACAAGTTCTCGAATATCTGTGTTATTGTAAGCGAGAAATTAAAGTCAACCACAGTGAGAAAGTCCGAGGTTTTCATAATGGAGATAGACTCATTTCTAAAATTATTTCCTACATTTGACACAGCAAATTAGAAAATTCGTTTATAGTCCAATTTCGTTAAATTTACCTCTCTGAAAACACATTGTATAGATTGAACTGTTACTCACTCGTAATTAAATAATTCAAGTAATCGCAAACATATTTAATTTTGACAAAAAATACAGTGTAGATTCTTGTGAACGGCAAGTATAGTCTTTATTGAATGTAATAAATTGTAAAATCTAGAATATACCCTCAGATATGACCACAGAGTGGTTGAATGTTTTATAATCCTTATAAGTCTTTATCTGTCGAAAAAAGGAAATGCAAATCAATATTTAAATTAATATCGAATCAATTGGTTACCTTATTGTTGTATTATTGTTAGATTACCCATTATCTGGGTTTTTTTTTCTACGTTGAGTTTAAAAATGAATAACATATCTCTGCTTAGTGTTCTTTTAAACTTACCTTGCGATACAGGCATTGTTGATAGTTAGATCATTTCGAATGGGCGTAATGGTATCTTCAAATTGCAAATGTAAGTATGCTTTTAATTAAAAACAGGTTATGTCAAAAACAAACTTGCTCTTTCGTCTCAATGTAATCCAAACCCACACATTTTTTATCAGAAGATACAATTGTTAAAGTAGTTAAGAAAAGTGAAATGATATTATTAAGATCCGGTGAAAGGATACAATTTGATTTAAAACGTATGGAATTTAAAATACCGAATCAACGAATACATTCACACACATTTAGCATATTGAGTATGTAATAATTAGCTGATTAAACCCTTTATTTCTTGGCAGAAAATTTATGAACTATTTGGAGACAACATGATATCTTTATAACAGTGCGCAACGGAATGAGAAAAATGCTTTTTTTTTATTTTCTAAACAAATCTTCCGAATATGTGGGCCAAAGTTCTTGGCAATTATACAGTAGAATATAGTCAATACAGCAACACATGTACAGTTATATACACGTTTACTAATTTTTCGACACGTTTTAAATATTACACGTAATAATATACAGCTTTCTTTTAACATGTTTGAATTATTTCTAGATGTGTTAGTTTTTTACTTTAGCTCAATTTCGAATTCGTCTTTAAACAGAAATATTCTTGCCATTCTTGTGTCAACCAATCATTGAGTTTCGTATTGTGGGTTGATATGATTTTTGATAACTTATAAGTTTTAGCTTCACCTAATGTAAACTGTCATTTTTTCTGCATTACATATTTGTAACAATTGATTATTATCTTTGAGAAAGATTGTTCATTTATTTTATTGTTTCTTTGATTTATAACTCTTGTTTTAAAGTCTTTTCATTTTCATCAACAGTTATATACATTTTTAGTATGTATAAGATTATAAAACAAACATGTTATTATGTTATATCTGTGAAGTTTTGAAAATGAATCAAAAACATATCGGTTTGTATTTCGGTGCATAGTATCTGTGGAGACTTTGTCTTTAAAACATGCATAGGTAAAGATTTCACGGTGAGAATTATATAGGTTGATTTTAAATCGAGTAATTTAATTTTATTATAATTATAACATGTATAACTGAGCCTTCGGTGATTTTATTTATTTCTCTTTTAATTAAATAACGTTCTAAGTTTTTCTCTTATGTTAAACAATTACGATGTGTTTAAAAGAACTATACGTGACTGTGATCTAGTCTTTTGAGCATATCAGTATGACGTCCTATGTCCGTTTCTAGTGTCAAACTTTATCATCAAACATTTTTGAAAATATAACACTAATCAGAATGTAATATCATTTCACAAAAATAAGATTCGTAGGGGAAAAATGTTAATTCTTTGTACTTTTTTCAACAATTCACATAAATCGGTTGCCATGGATGAATAGTACATCATTTTGACCTTTGAAATACAGCAATCGCATAACGTAAAGCCAATGATTATGTAGCAATATCGTCTCCTTATGCTGGATAATGAAATGAATTAAAAGTATAGTCCGTTTCTCTGTTCGTATGCCACTATATGTAGTGTGATATGACAAAAATATCTTCATGCTACATGAAGATAACAGGCCACAACCACAAGAAATGATATCTCACATTTTAAACACAAATTCCCTTGAAGTGCTCTTAAACTTACTGAAAAACATTGACGATGAATATAGTGTAATGGGATAGAGTTAATTTCGGTTTAGATACCAAATGAATGACCGAGAATACAAATAGCGATAACTTGTATCTAACATTTACATGAAATATTTACGTCGAAGATATCACTGCAAGCAAACATGTCATAACAAAAAAGTATTCCTAGATAGAATTCGCACCAACAATAAAAAAATTCTCAAATTGATACTGTACTAAATGAACAGGTAATGTTTTACACTGTACATACAAAATGTACCATGACTCTTATTATTAATTTATCAGATTGTTATGGTGTGTGTGGACTGAAATAAGTTTTTTATCCTCTAAAATCCATAAGAGGATTTATTTCAAAGGTATTGAGATCTTGGTAATGATTTGACAACCCACTGCCTTTCTATTGTATGTTATTTTACGAGTTCAGGAAATTTGAAAGCCAGAAGAAACACCAGTAAAAAAAATATTAAGAATCCTTCTCAATTACCATTAGGATTTAAACTAATGTGGTATTGGTGTAAAAATACATTGACTGCTAATATCTAGGACCGAAAATAGAGACCCATCAAACAGTTAAAACAAAATTTGTACAGTTAGATATATTTCATTTGTATATTTTCAAAGATTCAGTTGCACACAATTTTGAGATCAGAGGCAAATGCACCTGCCACGTGCGGAGTTTGAACTCACATCCCCAGTAGTAACATTTTAGTGATATAATAGTAGTTGAACTAGATAAAATACTCGGTCACCGAGGGGCCGCTATAGGCATTTTACCCTTGAAGTAATATTCACTTTTTTCGCAATAACTTAAATGAAAAAGTTCTTCTTGCTATAATAAAATTGAAACTTATTAAAAAAGTAACAATTAAAAATAGGAAATAATAAAACAATCAGAAGCACATGCTGAATGTGCGTCACAGCAAAAATATCAAGTTTAATATTTTAAATAATTTACTAATTTGATTGACATTGCTAATTTCTTCTTTAATTCTAAAAGGTGTGTGTGTGTGTGTTCGTAAGTTGAACGAACAATCAAACAAATGCGACACGGTATGAGGTCACACTCCTTTGAAATGTTTCAAAATGTAAAGATGCATGAAATCGAACAGGTACTCCTTAGCATTATATTTCTTAATTTACATTTATTTATTGAGTTCTATAACCATTTATTTATCATTTTAAATTTACAATGTATTCAGACAAACCAAAAAAACCACTTAAACAAATTTTTATTGGAGACTCTTAACAAATCGGTTTAGATCCAAATTCAATATTTCTGTTTTGTCACAGTATTTGTTACATTGTGTTATCAGTTAACCTACCACAAAAACTTGATGGATATTTGTTCACGCTATTGCACATTTACATCAGGTTAAGTATTTTCATAAAAAAATGCACTTTATTTAGGCTTGAGAAAACTTACAACATAATCAATGGTTTCATTCGGGTTATCGAAAGAAATGAAACAACTAATGGTGGTCAAGCATTGCGATCAGATCGTGAAAGATCTGGTACAGAATTGTGAATGAAAAAATATCGAGAAGACACATGATTCGTCAATAAATAATCTTATCTTATCAATTATTATGAAAAATAATGGAAAAACAAAACTGGCTGTCAAAATGGTTCAACAATATCCGAAAAAAAAATCAAGACTTAAATATACACCGTTTTTACAAAAATTACAAAAGGCAGATTGCTCTTTGAAATATCAGAAAAATTAAAATGTAAACAAACGTGATTGTTAATGCATAAACTACAACTTCCCCTAGAAATATCGTTCAATATTACTGTCTGAACTAGTTCTTAAATTTATTTTGATTTAGTTTATTAAAAATAATGGTTATATTTGTAAAAAATTGATATCACGGATCGTGAAAGATCGGGGACCGCATTTGGATGATTTTGAAAATGAGCGTAAAAGATCTGTTTCCGCTTATACGTTAATTACAAAAAAATCCACGAAAACGTTCGAATCTGTCTTTAAACATATGATTATTTATGCATGTAATTGGTATATCAACAGATTGGATTTACATGACTTATTCCGCTTCACTTTTGTTTGTAAGTAAGGCTATAATGGTTCAATCACATTGGATTTGTATTTTGATAATACCACACCGACTAGTTTTCTGATAACACTATAAGGGTGTCTGTCCGTCCTGCATTAGGTTGTTTTGTTTAAGATTGTCTCATCTGATGTACATTAATTTTCATAAATAGTCATATCTATAAAACGAAGATCCTTGCTGATTTTTGTAAAAATTTGAGAAAAAACATTGTTAAAAACAAAATAGCAGAAAAAAAAAAACTGTCATATTCCTGACTTTGCAGAGGCATTTTCCTAAACAAATGGTGGGTTAAATCTGGTTTTCTAACTTGCTTATACGCCCACTTGTATGACAGTTGTTTAATGTTCCGTAATATTGCCAAATTAAGGGAGCAGCACTAACATAATCAATTGGTTTACGTGATCATATCTGGCATCCAGTAGCATACATCACAGACATACAAAACAGCTTAATTTAACGTTCAATAGATATTAGAATATGTGTTATGAGTGCCAATGAGACAACTCTCCATCTAAGTTACAATTTGTAAAAGTAAACCATTATAGTCAAAGTACGGCCTTCAATACAGAGCCTTGGCTCACATCGATCACACACACTTACAATCAAATCAATCAAATACGCCAGCCAAAAAAGATTATGTAGTTGATAATACCGCCAGTATAGTAAAGCAAAATTAAGGAGCCCCTTACGTGTCATGTAAATATAAATATGTTCGTTTGCCGGATATTAAATCTTGCACGCACCAGTTTGAAAACTCGTGCGCACGACTTTCGAACTGGTGCGCATGACTTTGAAACTTGACCGCATGACTATCAAAATGTTGCGCACAACTTTTAAACTGGCGCGCACGACTTTCAATGATGGTGTGCAAGACTTTTAAGAACTGGCGCACATGACTTTGAAATTTGTTCGCATAACTTTCAAACTTGTGTGTATGACTTTCAAACTTGTTTGCTTGGCATTCAAACTGATTCGCATAACTTTCAAATTGGAGCACACGACTTTCGAACTCGTGTGCACAATTTTTAAAGTCGAGAGCACCAGAATTTGAAAGTTATGCGCACTAGTTTTTAGATGTCGTGTGAATGACTTTTCAAACTAGTGCGCACCAGCTTAAATGTGCGGCATTTAAACTTACCCGATAAAAATTATAATATTACAAGGGCATACAAAATGAAACTACGCTAAACAAAAAGTCATGTGTCCTTATCGCATATCTGGACCAACCCACATAAAGAACGCTAAAAGTCAAAAATCTGAAAGCTGGATGCACATATACCGAAACACGGTATGGGGCATACGATCAAATGAAACATTATACTATAATAGTACAAAGACAAATAAAGATAAAACTGTAAAGTATATAAAATACTACACAGAGCCAACACCCTAAACCCTAAACCCTGCTTAATTAATTGTTTCCGCAGGCACTGATAACGTTTTACAAACTAGATCTGAGTATCAGCTGCAATCTCCTGAAAATAAGAAAGTTCAGAAATGTATACTTCATAGGCGGATGCCGTTGGTAAATCGCTGCTAAGGTAAGGAACTTTTATAATTTCAAAATTGAAATCATCTCGTTTGTCATACTCTCGTATTAAAAGATTACAACTGTAGTCAAATTCGGGCTTTATATTTAAAAATGATTCAGAGGAAGCTGTATATGTGGTGTCTATTTTATCTAGTTCATGGGACCAAATGAGAAAAGTTCGTATTGTTAATGAAAAGAACATGTTCAATACATCTGTGTGTAAAGTTAGATAATAAAGCTTATTTTACCTAAGAATTATGAAGATGTGGTATGATTTCCAATAGACGTGTGTGAAAAGTAAATACGATTTTGACGCTGATGTTAAATACCAATACCACTACAGTCTATAGTGGGGACCATCTTAAAAAAGCATAGATAATTATTCATTAAAGTTACCTGTATTGGTTTGTTTGATAGTGCTGAGATGATTTTTTTAAACAAAAAAAAAAGTAACAACTTATTCCGCAATACAAAGTCAAGGATCCAGCAAAACACGATCATTATTCTTAAAATTGCATTGTTTCATAGTAGAGATCGATTAAGTTTAAGATCGTTGTTCCCCTATTTTTTACTATTGTGTTGATCGACTACAAGGAAAATCTGCAAAGTGATCAAACTAAATGAATATAAAAAAACAGGAATCAAATCACATCCGAATCCGATTTATTACTCTACATCAATCTTTGTTCAAAACGTTCGTTTAGTTAAAAATTTAAATGAAATCTAAGTGTCATGTCGGGGCCTTTCTGATAGCTTTTATGCGGGATGGCTTTTGCTTTATGTAGGGGGTCATACCGTCACATATAGTTTTGGTCTCTGTTACATAGTTGTCTATTTTAGCAATTATACCACATCTCCTTATTTTATATCATTTTCTAGAATAGAGAAATGTGTTACACAGAAGTGTAAAATTCTAAAAATAAACCAAACTAGAAAAGTGTGTACTTGACAATAAACTATTTTCAATTTGATCATCTTTCTATGTATATTTTTTCTAAAAGGTCACTGGCAATTTAATGTAATGTTGAAAGGAGACAATACCAAAAAAAAAACCCGTTAAAATAAGTGAATTAATTATTCTTATTCACATTTTCCCTGACATTTACTATCTATCAACTTTTATAAGTTTTTTTTCGAAAAAGAGAGGTTATCGAATTAATTTTTTTTAAAGATTACAACGTTTGGACATTATCAAGCATGTTAAACTTACGTTTTGGCAAAGGTACGGAAGCCTCTTTTTCTTTTGTTGTCAAGGCTTCCTCCACCAACAAAACAGAACACAACGATAGTGTTGAAAGTGGTGTTAAATTTTCATATGGCGAAGTTAATGTTTTTATCTTCGGGTCAGGAGGATATTTTTTTTTTTATTGCCTTCATTCTATTTTTTCAAAATATTTACTATATACTCCACTTTCTAAATTAGACGGTATATACATGATATAGTGGTAGTTGAATGGGTCCATCCGTCCGTTCATTCGTTCCTCTGTCCATGTATTGCATGCATACCCATATAGTAGAAGACAAAACGAATCACATATAGCTCGTTAAAAGTTATTTTCTAAATTTACGGACAGCAAGAACAACATTCTTGATATTTCAGATTAAACAAAATAGTTCATTAATGGTGTAAACTTTTAACTTTTAAATTTTACAACTTTACTCTATACATCACTTCACAGGAAGGCCTACACCTTTACGCTAAACACTAAGTACCATACATCCCTCCCCATCCTCTTTACCATTTGAATAATACATGATGTGCATGCATCATTCAAAATCAACCACAATTAATGTAACGTTTTTGCGGTAATTGCTAAATGCAAGTTATCTGGTATAAATCGAACAATGTGTTAAAATAATTAAACACTCCACAAGCATCGTTCACAGTTCCCTACATCGTACATTATTACATAATATCATATCACACAACGTCTTTTTTCTTGGGAAGTCTACATCATCAAAGGTTAGATAGTTTGTTCAAAGTCATGATATATACCTTTTGAAAAAGTTAAATAATGAACATAATTTAATTATTTCGACTCACATAACTATTATCATCGATAGTCGGGAAGGAAAGATCTTATTGTATAACATGTTTACAGGTCAAACTGTTTAATTTCAAATTGAAATACTTTTTATTTTATATTTATAATATACTTTTTTCATAATTTAATCCAACCTCAATTCCACTTCTGTGCACTGACGAAGACGACGTTGCATTTTGCATGCTGCTGTAATTTATTTCTTCGTGTCTACAATGGGAATAAGAATTTAGACAGTATTTGATACTTGTGTATGTCTGTCTTACACAACAAAAACATCACCAACAGAGTTCTAGGTAAAAAGACAAAACTCGAAACTACATATATTGTTAGTCATCATTTCGAGTTGGTCGATCGATACAATGTGTCGATGTCTTAACTCTGTAGCGACATGTGTCATAGTCCTATAGCTTTAATCACCAGTAAAGTGGGCTCTCGCAACGCGGTTGGTGCATGCATAGCAGGAGACGCTTATAATGTTTACGCACCAGTGTCGTTCCTTTTTAAGTTCACAATATCCCCGCAGGTGCATATCATATCTCTGCATAATCAATTTACGACATTTGAACACGGGTTTACGACTTTTGCCGTAGTCAATACATGATATAGTCTTGACTTTTTCTGTTGCCATCTTTTTTGTTTTTATTAAGTTTAAGTAATTATGAATAAGTTCAGTTTTAGTTCTATATATATTTTAAGTAACCATTTCCTATCTTTAAAGTTTCCTTTCTAAAGCTGCAGATTTTGTGTACTCTCCCGATTTTCAGGAATATGCTGTCATTAGGAAAGAGACAACATCAATGAAAATGTTATATATATGATATTATCCGCATAACATTGATTGAATAATACGTGTTGATTTAATATTGAAATTTACTTCAGAGTGAATAAAAGGTTATTCAACAAAACACGAGTGAATGTAACCTCACATGCCATATATAACGGCAATATCTAATGTTCGTATGGCACTATACCTTATATGCACATACTTATCATGATCACAATAATCAAGAAACGTATTGTTTCTCCGAAAAAAAAAATACTATAACTAAAAACACAAAACCGTTACAAAAATGTATGTTATACGATTACCGTTACTAACGACACTTACACACTTTGTGCATATTCCTGATCATTATCCATTTGCATTTCTTCAAAAAATCAATCAGTCCAAAACTATAACCAGAATAAGAAATGTTTTAAACATTCTGAGCACCTTGCCAAGTTGAAAAAAGTGTAATTTAAGTCCTGGACATATCTGATACAATGTAAATTAACGCTTGAGAAATTAAAATGAACTGAATGTAAATGTTATGGTGAACTGATATTATCGGCAACAGGTTGTATCATAAAAAAAGTTGTCAATTAAGACATCATTCTAAATTTCAACAATCTGTGTGTCTCAGACGGATTGTCTTGCTTTTTTCAGGTTTTATGGACTTCAACCTTTTTTGATATACCAAACAGTTGCTGTTAATAAAATTAATTAAAAGAATAAAAAGAATGTACACGTGTTTAAGTCACAATAGAATATAGTGTAATTGTATTTGAATGGTTAGTATTAATATTATTGCATGTTATATTCATTTGTGTTTACGCTTGGTAATTAAAACACTGTATTTTTTAATAACGCTTATATGTGACTTAAACCTTTGGCAAACGTTGTGATTGTTACTTTTTAATTGTCAAGTTCCCATTTCCCAATAGCAGCATAACATTTGATCCGTCTTATTGCGTTTATATATTTCTACACTCGTGTATGTTCACAATATACGGACTTCATTAACACGGATGTACGCGTTACACAAGAAACTCCTTTAACAGAGTAATGAGAAAACATAATGACAGTAACATTTTATCAACTTGTCGATTATTTCTATTAATTGACTAAACAGTGTGTTTGTGACTCGGCTCATTAAGGATCTTTGTTTGTGGTCTTATACATGTATACATCTTTATTTGCCTGTGCCAGTCTGTCGTCCGATCTCTAATTTAACTGATTTATATTACGTTTCTTAATTTAACATTTAAACTGGTTGTGAATATGATTGATGGGTGATGGATCCACATCAAAAGACGTTGATCATGTTGGCCTACCCAGTTTCGTCTATTTAGAGTTCAGGCGCCTCTTCTAGTTTAAGTGTTCGTTACTTATATTTGTCTCTGTTAAATTAAAAGTGAGAAAATTGTAAACAACTGTTTCCTTTAAACAGAAAACTTTTTATATGTTGTGTTTCTAGTTTATAAGATTGCTTTAACTTATATTTTCAAAACAAATTTACTATTAACTTGATGAGTAATTTAATTCATTATACAGTCTGAATGAAAAACCATGTTAAAATCTACACATAATGTTCTTAAACCAGACGTAGAACTCACATTAGAGTTATTGTAGTGCCAGGTATTAAGCAAGTGAAATATTTAAAAGTCAACTTGTTAATTTATAACAAATATCTTGCTTTTATTATTTCATAAAATCTGTTAAACTTATGTAATTTTGACGAAAACAATATGTCAGAACGATCACAAGATGACATGTCTAATAGAATCAACCAAAATGAGAGAGATCAAAAACAGAATGTTAATAGCGATAATGGTTTCACTAATACCATAGGTTTTTGAATAAGAACACAGCTTTGTTTAAACAATCGTCCTAATGTTACTTTGTGGCTTCATGTGAAACAGAAAATTGACAACCAGCTCTAAACTACCAGATTAAAATTGAAAACAGTATATGCAATTAACAACAATTGCTACCTACATTCAAGTCTGTTTCAGATGGCAGTGGAAAATACTTTGATTTGGTAGTACTATCTGCTGCAGGTAACATTTTTATAATCCAATATAGATCTCGTGTCTCCATTTCCGTTGCTCTTTCGACACTATAAATGATAAGGGAATAACGTAAAAGCAAGCAAAGAATCATTTTGAATTTTGCTGATATGAGTTTAAGATGTTTTTAAAGATTTGTTTTAACTCCTCATCTTTGCTTTTGATTTCATCATCAGAATTATTTTTGTAATCTTCACGAGTCTAGTTTACATTTAGTTTAACGTGTGCGCTTGGTGTGTAACATAAATGATGTCTTTAAAGAGTTTATCATGTACTAGGTCGATGGGACTGTTGATAGAAGTTAAGTCTCAGTGGATAGCATTGGCCCATTAGTCAGTACTCCCTTGCTGATGTTTGATGAATGGACACCAAACATTTCAATTTATCTCATATTCATCAAAAGTTAAAACTATTAAAATAATTTTAGGTTTCTATTCTTCCAGGAAAAGCTAGAATGTGCATTCTTTAAATGTAGATTCACCTTGCTTTTGTTAGAAATATTATAAAAAAAAAATTACCGTGCAATTTTTTTCTTCAAAATTCAAGCTTTGGAAAACAGCCAGGTATTGCAAAAATTATTCATGAACACGAAACTGTTTTGAGAATAGAAAGAAACTTTTCGATATAATTTCGAAATAAATTGCGAAAAGATAGATTCTGTGATATGGTTTTAGAAAATAAAACGAAAAAAAAAAAAAAAATGTCATAGAACTTGTGTTCTTGCTACAATTAAAATAGGAAATTTCATTATCAATATAAGAATAAGAGGATGTGCTATACTTGCCAATGAGACACCTCTCCACTACAAACCAAGTGAAATAGAAGATAACAATAATAGGTCACCGTACGGCCTTCAACAATGAACAAAACCCACACCGCATAGGCAGCTATAATAGGCCCCGAAATGACGAATGTAAAACTATTCAATCGAGAAAACTAACGGCCTGATTTATTTTAAAAAATGAACGAATTACAAATATAATATACAACAACTAACGACAACCACAAAGCACATACAGAATGTTGCGATGTTAAGCATGGTGGCGGGCGCCCAACCCTTCCCCAACATGGGACAGTGGTATAACGATTTTTTACAACTCTTTCTATATGAGTAATATATACTTGTATAGAATAGATTGAAAGTGTAATCGAACAAAAATAATTATTTGGCATTTGAAAAAGAAACAGTCTAAATAATGCAATAAATAACTTTTTTCTCTTTTTTAAATACAAAATCTAACATATGAAGTGTCATTTTGTCTTAAAATTAGAAGATTAAACATAGATCTAGATTCATTTTGTACATCTTTTTTTCAATCCAAGATCGTTGTATACAGAAAATCTACCTCAAACAGCCTATAATATACAACATCATTCATGCTATTAATGATTGTATATACACATATGTCTTGATTTAATGAAAATCTAGAAGCCTAAAGATTAAAATGCATTTATTGATGAAAATCGCGCATTGACCTCTTTTATTAGTAACTATATACCAAAGGTCGAGGTGAGCGATTATCGCATTGTTTATGTGACAGAGTTTGTTTTACATAATAAAAAAAGAGGATGTGGTATGATTGCCAATTACACAACTTTTCACAAGAAAGCAAATGATACACAAATTAACAACTATACGGCCTTCAACAATAAGCAAAGCAAAAACCGCATAGTCAGCTATAAATTGTCCCGTAATGACAAATGTAAAACAATTTAAACGAGAAAACTAACTGCATCATTTACGTACGAAAAAATGAACGAAAAACAAATGTGTTACACAGCAACAAACGAAAACCACTGAATTACAGGCTCCTGACTTGTGACAGACACACAGAGAATGTGGCGGGGTTAAACATGTTAGCGAGCGCTCAACCCTCCCCTAATCTGGGACAGTGGTGTAACAGATCAACATAAGAACAAACTATCAAAATCAGATGAAAAAGGCTTAACTCATCAGATGGATACAGACACGTGTAGAAATACATCTTACAAAAAACACAGAGTGAACGTGGCCGGGTATTTGTACATCCCAACAACAAAAAGACACTAAGTACAGATTTGAGAGTACTCGCAGATTCTGACAGCAAACTACAACTAATAAAAATAAATCATGCATCTAAGCCTAAACTATCAATCAGTACACATCCAACATCCAATGAATTTAGTGTAAAGACGTCATACAGAGGAAACAAATAAACAACATCTCCGTAAAAATAAAGGTTTTAAGTAATTTGTTGTAACGAAATCCCTGACTTGATAATTTACCCGTTATACATAGATTACGTTCAATAAAATCCAAAACGTCACAACAGACACGATCATAGCGAACGAGTTGTGATATATAAACACCGTAAGATTTTGCCAAAGAACAACATCATCCAAAAAACGGAAAATTAAAAATAATGATGTTAGTTATATATGTAATAGTCTAACCTGTGCATATAATTAATTAACTGATACACCCCTTACGGTATTCACGGGAACTGTAGCATAGACTGCATCACAAATAATAAATAAACAAAAGTGTATTCCTTTAATCATCTACTCACCAGTCAAGTACACGTCACAAATAACATAAGGTTGCAAGTACTGCATAATCATCCCGGTTGCAAATAATTTGCAATCGTAACTACTCGGCCATTCTCGTTACGCCTTTAATAGACGTAGAGATAATGGCCGAGTACTTACGATTGAACTATTTTAGCATTGACATGCCATTACGGACGTGGTGTATTCAATTTTGTTGTTGTATCATTCAAAATCATTTTAGATAAAGGAAAATGCCCTCCTTATGCAAAGCTCTAAAAGTTGATATCTCTGCTGATTGACTGTTAGATCCTTGGGGTTTCATTACTTTAGTAACTATTACGTCGGCATTGGCATAAAAATACGCATAGTATTTTACTTTAATTTGTTTTATAAACTTCAAATCATTTTAAAGTAATTAAAATTAAATGTGTGTTGTTTCTAGCATAAAACGGAGCCTATCAACATTCAATCACTAGCCAGTCAACACTGAGGTTGTGAGTTCGAACCCCAACTCCAATCTTAATTTACTAGGATCGTTAGTTTTTACTATCGAAGGTCGGTGGTTTTCTCCGGGCACTCCGGCTTCCTTCACCAATAAAAACTGGCCGCCATGAAATAGCCCTAAAGCGGTGCTTAAAAGTGGCGTTAAAACACCAAAATTCAATTCATTCAACATTCAAAAGATCACTAGTAAATTTGCAAATGTATAGAACACGATATAAGGAAATATACAAAGATAATTTACCATCAATGAAAAACAAACAATGTTTGTCAAAGTCAATATGCCAAATTATCTGCCAGAATTGAAAATCAACAATTAAGGCGAAAACAAGAGAAAATAGTGAGTTTAAAATGAGAACATTAAAAATAAATTTCAGCTCAGAAAGATAAGGATTGATTAGACTTACAATGGCTATTTTCATTAATGAGATATTGTGAAAAAAAAACCGAAATAAATGCTTTTGAATTTACATATTGATTCTATGAATTTAAATGGATTGCATTGTTTTAGAATGAAAATTTAACCATACAAGAACAAATCAACGGATTAGAAATTTGTTTTCGACTTGGTAAGATAAAAAAAACCTTCAACAATAGAAATATTATGATTCTGTTTGGCAGGAGTTTGTTTTTATTCTAATACTTAAATGCCAGTGAAAATAAAATGAAAACAAAAAATGTTCTTAATGTTAGAAAATGGAAAAAGATAAAAATCTATACGGTTCTCCAAAAGAGTATTTCTGAAATCAAGCTACGTGAGGCTAAATCTCTTGTTTAAGTGCAAGCAGCTGAGACAATGCTTCAACAATGACATGAAAATAATTAATTGTTTTAAAAGTAACTTTAAATGTTCCTATATTTTTTTGTTCATTTACATGCTGAACCAGGATGATTTGAGCAAAATGTTGAAGAATGGGATGATTGTGATATTATTGGTTTAATCATAGCTCTTTCAATTTTATAAGATCATTTGTTTTCGGGCGCAGATGGTTATCGGGTCTTTTTATATAAACATTTTAAAAGCATTTAAAACTACCAGTTGACTTACAACTTACTACATTTTTACATACTCAATGTGTCGTTTACAATGGATGCAATTTTTTTTTTTCACCATATAAGTACGTTTACCATATTTATTGAAAACAATCCCAAGTAAAGATGATTGAAATATGTCAGTAATCGCCGTTTATAGTTATTCCAATAATCATTTTCAGCATGTTGTAGACCATAAAAAGCAGATATATTCCCGTTCTTCATGGAGCAAAGGTGTTCAATCCGGTTTTTAATATCTTAATTCATGTACTTTCATAAGATGCGCACAAGCTACATCAATGGAAAATATGTAATCCGGAATTTACAAATCAAGACGAAAGTAGTCCCTTCAATTACGCTGATTAATAATTAAACCACAACTACATCAACATGCTTTTGTGAGGTCCACGAATCCGGACTAAATAACCAGATAGTTTATGTTAAAGATTTGCAGGTATGTCACACATGGAATTCGTTTACTTACTGTTTTCATTTAAGTTAAATTGGAACAAAAAGACTATAAGATTGTATTTTTTTCTGTTAAAATGTGTAAAGTAAGCCACAAGTGTTTTTATCTGAGGTAAGATAAAAAGAAAAAGCAACATACGTGTTAGGGATCAATTGGTTGGGGGAAAATGACAGATTTGTTTAGTTGATTTTTGTATTACGATATAATACTAGTGCACCGAAAAGTAGTTAGTTAGGTAGGTATAATGCTAGGAAACTGTGAACTTTTTACTTACCTGGAAACGTAAAGATAGACATACCTCCTCGTTTTTAACAAAAACAAAATTTGTTGTCTAACGGGAATATATCTGCTTTTTATAGTCACTCTACCACGGATGCGTGCTTTTTAAATTTTACAGATTTTTGCAAAAGTGCGATTGGCTCATCGAATCGAATCGTGTGTTTTCCAACATCATATGTAATATAAGAAAATTAGATGAATTTAGAACACAATAACAATTAAACTTGAGCCATATCCGGTATAATATAAACAATGATGATATCATATCTTAGCATGAATACAAAACACATTATAAGTTTTAATAGAAAATTTAAAACGAATTATGCAGTTCTGTTAAATACCTCTTCATGTCAAAATACATACTAATTTGAAGAACTTCAATACTATGTTATAAATATACAGTCCTTATGTGTTGAAATGTGATTAAACATTGCAGCATTTGAAACAATAAGGGTCTAATAAGGATGTACACGTGAAATTGTTTTATCATTAGGAAAAACGAATATGTTTAGCATTCTATATAGTTGAAGCGTTGTACTCGTATATATTCTATGAAAACGAGAAAGAAATCAAGTGGCAATGCAGAAGCAAAAAAGTACATCACTGAAACTTAAGGCACGAACAATACAAACAATTTATTAATACAACTCAGTAACGGGTGGTATCAGGTTTTCAAGGATAGTGGGTGGTCATGCTCCAAATGTGGCACCTTTGTTTAGGCTCATGCATATATAGTATGTACAAGTTCTATTCGGTGATGTGATAATTGAGGAAATGATAACGGCATTGTGGTTGAGAAGATCAATGGTCATGTGTGCCATCCGTGTCCCTGGTTATCCATAACTTAATGATCAACTAGCTCTTGATGTTGTCAATGAATTATCAAAAATCTTACTTCAACTTTAACACTTGAAAACCATTGTTCAACAACGTCCGATCAACCATCTAGAATGGAACCCGTGAGAAAACACACAAATTCTGTAATATCTTATGAACTGATAAACCATATGCAGACGCTAATTTTGACTCATGTAGTCGTGATTTTGTATTCTTAACCGACATTCATCGTCAATTTTTAGAAATCAGCTTAATTATGAGGAAGGATTAACGGTATCCTTTATTTCAATGTCGACTGGATTGATGCAGTCAGTATGTTAACAAAAAAATAAAGTATTTAGTTGGAGGACATCATGTATATGGCGATATGTGAAATTAAAGAATAACGCTAGCTATTTTCTTTGTCCTTGGATGCTCCAGTATGATGTCCGTATAAAGGAACAATTCGGAAGAAGAGGAGCACATTGGGTTCCAAAAAGGAATACCCATTGTTTGTCGAAAAATAACAAATATTGTTAAAATAAAAAAAAAAAAAAAACATCTAGCATTTTGACGAGTTTCAATATTTACTAAAAAATGCATGATTTTTTCTTAATCTTCAAACAAGATATTTATATCGACCTAGTTCCTTTTTAAGAAACTGATTTAGAATGTGTTGTTCAATAAGTTTAAAATATGTGAACTCTAGTCTTAAGAAAATTCGTATCCTGGAAAAATAAAAACAAAGTAATGAAGTAACCAATTAAACTCTTGGAGATTTCTATTAAAAGCCCATAATCGAGTCTTTCAAAAGGCAAACACATCCGAACTGCAAACGCAAACGCAAACGTTCTTACAAAAGACAGTATGTACATATATATCCTATATCTGTAACATTTCGCATATTTTTGTATTGTTGTTTTTTTTTCGGAATTTTCAAATTTCCAAAAAATGTCTTTAAAAAGCATTGTATCTCAAGTTTTTTTCTCTGTTACAATATAACCTGATTTTTTTTCTTTTGAACGCAGTCTGCCAATGTTGCTGAGTAAAGCCTACTTTAAAAGCCCAAAGTAAGATATGAGTTTAAAATTGCCCTCTTTAGCTTTGGAAACATCAGTATCATCAAGCACATTTTTTTTTAAATGAACCGTCATCGACCCCATCCCATTTTTATAAAATAGTGTAATAATACGTCGACCTTAACCTGAGAGGAGCCATTTAACCAAAATGAACATACAAGAATATCCATACTCATTTAAGATTAACTTTTTGTGAGAGAATTTCTTTATAATTACTGACTTGATCATTTGTTAAAAGTAATTAAGAAATATGTTTTCAGTACGGAAGTACTAGCAACTGAGTGGATTTGATTTGTCAAATACAAACGAGTTATTCTGATGTCATTCATATGATCGAAATTCTTATCCTATTCAAAACATATTGAATATCATTTACTACAGTGGTGTGATGATTTAACTTCACTGCCCGCATTGTATTAATAAGATTTATCTTTGATTCCAACGTTATGACACAATTTAACTTACAATTCATAGAAGCGCATTTCATTTTACGTTTTAATTTAGCCAACAATGCAATAGGTAACCTTGAAACTTATAATTGTATTGTCAATTTTATTTTTAAATCACTGCAAAACCGACATGTATTTATTTTTAGTGGCAGGTAATAATTGAAATCAAGACGACAATTTTTTTCCGTTCTCTCATATTTTGTTTTTTGCTCAATTTTTTGTTTAAATTCTTGATTTTTTTTCGTCGTTTGATTATTTGGCATGGTGCTGGGTTTTTTTATGATTATTTTGATGAAAAATTTGTTTGTTTTTACGGTGATTAAGATTATAACACAATGTTGACTGCTGTACCCCTACTTTTGACATTTTAACTGTTATGTTTTGTTCACACATTGTTGTCAATATAATGGAATTTTATGCAACTGTCATACAACATGTACACAATTCCCGTGCCAAGTCAGAAATATTACATTTGTTATTCATTCGTTTGATATGTTTGGTTTTTAGATTTTGCCAATTGATTAGGGAGTTTCCGAATTTTCCTCGGAGTTCGGCATTGTTTTACTTTTTCTTTTTCAAAAACTTTATCATAACGTCCTTAATTGATATGTTATGTCAGCATCATGTTACATACTTCAACCTGGGATGGTAAGAAAAATAATGGGGTTTAATCCAATGGCAGTGGCATAATCCAATTGACAAAAACCATCAAATATACGAGCGGAAGGTCAGAGGACTCATCAATGGTGAAACGAAACTTTTCAGAGGCCAAATTAAACTTCAAGAACATTTAAGAATACAAATAAATTCACAATTTGTTCGGCAATCTATTACTGGGGGTATAAAACAAAATTTATATTTTTGAAAAGATAAATTATCTTATAAACAATAAATATATTCAAAACATATAACATAGAAATAAGAATAACTGGTAGTTATCAATGAGAGAAATATTCTCTAGAGATGATATGAAGTGAATGTAAACATTTATAGACAACCGTACGGCTTTCAACATTGCGAAAACCCCAATACCGTACACATGATACAGTGTACTATAACAGGTTTCAACATGAAAAAAATGATAACACTGTAAACAATAAAACAATGGCCTAATGTATAACAAAACAAATTTGCGAAAGACAGATATGATAGACATGAACCAACGACAATTACTGAAGTTCAGGCTCCTGCCATGGGACAGACACATATAGAATGCTCACTTTTAAATTAAGGTCAAAATATAAGACTTATCAGATTTGTACGGTCACCTGTTGTTGAAATATCAGTTAACAATTGAATGGAAAATTTAGTTTTATAACATGTCGAAAGGATGTTGTCAATGAGAAAGCTTTCAAATTTTGTTTTTTATTATTTTTTTACCGAATCGTGATTCCTACACTTACTAAGAAAGAAATTAAGCAAATAGATCACATCCATAGTTTAACCTTTATACTTTATGTCAACAAAATTGTTTTATTAATTGAGATAAATGATTATCACAAACAAAATTCAAAAAGGAATACCGTAATATAATATGTATTGCAAATGCAATGCAAATAGCACGTAGATGTAGGAGAATAAAATATCTATTAAAAGATATATTATAAACATTTATTTATAAACAGTTATGTAATCCGTATCAAATATTTGTATGTAGGCTTTTATAACCATAACATGAATCTACCTGTATTGTAGAAAGTTTTTCAACGGCCATGCACCTAGTTTTTTACCTTTCGTTTATGTGTATGATCCAGAAGAAAGCTGCCGTTCTGTGTTTATTTTGTAGATGTATCATTATATACTATATAATTCCACTGGCAACACGACGGGTGCCACATGTGGAGCAGAATCTGCTTACCCTACCTGAGCACCTGAAATCACCCCAGTTTTTGGTATGGTTCGTGTTGCTTAGTCTTTTGTTTTCTATGTTGTGTCATCTGTACTATTATTTGTCCGTTTGTCTTTTAATTTTTGGCCATGGCGTTGTCAGTTTGTTTTCGATCTATGAGTTTGACTGTCCCTCTGGTATCTTTTGTCCCTCTTTTTTTCCCACCAATTTTACTTTGAGTCCATATTGAATTATAGAAAAATTAATTTGAAACGACCTCGAAACCACCTATAATTCTGTAATGAGGAGTACTTAAAATTGCATCCATGATTAAATTCACATCCGTAAAATAGAATAATTAAAATTTTGTCTTTTTTCTTAAATATTTAGAACAATTTTACAATAGTCCATGCTTTCTATTATTCTTTAAAGATATGGATGCTTGTCGCATATTTTAATTGCTCTTTTTTCAAAGTTAAGATTCTTTGTGCACATTGCATGGTGACGTTTCCGTAGCGTTTACCTTTTCACTGAATACTTCATTTCTTGATAAATACTGAGTCCGTTTTGTGTATATCTGAATATATTTAGCTATGTTAAAAAACGAGCATACTGCCAAATCATTAAAATACAAATTGTTTAGTATCTCAAAATCTCCGCTGGTATCTAAGCTAGGTAAAAGTAAAATCACAAAAATACTGAACTCCGAGAAAAATTCAAAACGGAAAGCCCTATTTAAATGGCAAAATCAAATGATAAAACACACCAAACGAATGGACAACAACTGTCATATTCCTGACTTGGTACAGTCATTTCAAATGTAGAAAATGGTAGATTGAACCTGTTTTTTTAACGCCTAACCTCTCACTTGTACGACAGTCGCATCAATTTTTATTATATTGACAATGATGCGTGAACAAAATGTCACAAA